GACCTTTTGTGTCCCATCACTGCGGCCACCCTCCACCAGCCACTGCGGGCAGGTGAACGGACCACCCCCATCTCACAGCTGAGGAATTTAGGGTCCCTTGACTCTGCCTTTTGACAGTACCTCACTTCTTCCGCACCCCATTTCCAGTTAGAGGACCAGGATCGGGGGGTGCGAATCAGGTCACCACCTCCTGACTGTCCTTACTGCGCATGCCTGAGGGACTCCTGGCCCCTAACTTAACTGGCCCCAGATGCTGTGATGTTTGCAACTCCTGTTTCAGAGTTTTTTTTGTGTACTCTGTTCTGTCTCATTTGCAAGCAGCTCTTTCCCATCCCTGCTCAGATGCAGACTGCACCCAACAGCCCTGCTCCCCACTTTAGGCCTGCTGGGAACGGTGTCTGTGGGGTGCCCCCCGGCCTGAGGTGAGGGCCTGGTCGCAGGCTGCAAGGATGTGGGAGCATCCGCTGTCTGGTGGGTCCCAGCGCCCCACCCTCTCCACAAAGAGCTGCGTCCTCATCTGTCTCCCTTGGGCACAGAGACTGGGGTCCAGCAGGGCCCCTCGGAGCGACACCAGCTCTGTGTTTCTCCCAGGGCTTCCTCAAGAACCTACAGCCTTCCAACGGCTGCTCCATTTACCTCCCAGATGCCGGGTGGACAAAAGACTAGTCTAACAAGTCCACGTGTCCACAGCTGGAGAAATGCACTTCAACGCACACTGGCAAACCTTGGAAAGAAATCGGCCCTTCCCAAATCCCAGCAGAACGTCACACAGTTTGAGGAATTCCTCCACCCACAGCAATTAGGTGGCCTTGCGGATCAACACTTCTTAAAGACATCCTTCAGCACTTAATGGGTCGGGGACCTAACCCCTCCATGCCTCAGTTTCCTCATCTATAAAATGGGGGCGCTTACTTATCGGCCCATCGGGAAGGGGAAAAGCCCACGTGCAGGCAGACTTTTTCTCAGGATGCCTGGCAGGGGTGCCGTGGTGTCTAGCTCCAATAACAATGCTGCTTTTGTGATTACGGAGGCCACAAACTATGTGTCTGCCTCGCTTGTGTCCCTCAGAGCTTTTAAATGAACAAAAGAAGAATCTTTCTACACAATGGTCTGGCACACACAGTGTGTTTTTTCCCCTACAGAAAGGGAAAAGTGGGGTTCACTCCCCGACTTGGCAGAGGTGGGGTTGACACAGGAGGGGCGGGAAGGATGAGAGGGGTCCTCGCAGGGTCTAGGGAGGTCGGGGGAAAGCCACGTTCAACAGCAGCCAGGCTCAGAGGGAAGAAGACGATAAAACAATCACTGTCCAAACAAGAGCGGCCCGGCCGCCAGTCCCACACTTACTTCCAGGACCGTCCACTGTTCCACAACAATAGCATCGTAGCCCTGCACGGCTCTGCTATCTTCTGCGGAAACAGCTTCAAAGATGAATACTCCATCTGTCAAGCCGTGTAAGGAATCTGTGGAAAAAAGAAAAGGCGGGAGGGAGGGGGAGGGAGAATTCTGTAAACCGTCTGTGGCCTTACAAGAAGCAAAAATGTTCACTGCGTTCATTAATAATCCCAATCAGAACATCTTTTCAGCATGTTAATTAAAGAAGGCACACACAGCCATAGAGTCTAGCCCCATCAGAATGAATGAGACTAATTTACCTCGCAGCTCTGAATAATATCCTTGATTTCATGAGCCCAAATTTCATTGTTAGCAATCACCATTCGATTTCACGCGGTTACCTTCCTTTTTCACGCTCCGACGTCAGGATACACACGGGGGGAACTTATTCAGGGTAAAACGCAGCCATGGAGAGACAGTTTTTAGAGGAAGACTGTGTTGAGGTGAGAGAAATCATTTTTAAGGGGGGACAGATGTCATGCAGCAGATCTGGGCTCCCAGATGCAGTCCAGATGTGCTGATCCCCCGATGTCTGGGGGACGTGGGTCTGTAACACAGAACTTTAGGCAGCTCTTGTCAGGAGGTGAAATCTGGGGAAAAGGTTTCCCTGGACATTGCTATTGTGAACGATAAGGTTCTGAGTTTCGTACAATTCAACAGAACCGTCTCAGGCAATGATGGGTATCAAGAAAAATACAAGAGGGTCCTTGCCCCTGAAGAAGACTTTAAAGGAGACACTTTTTTTGTTTGTTTGTTTAATGGCTCCTACTAAATCCCCTAGATTCACTTAGATAAGAGATTGTGGGAAAGAGGCCTGGATTCGGAAGCAGGTGCTTTGGGCCCATGCTCTACCCGAAAAGGGATGTGCCCCTCTCAGGGGCTCGGGCTGCTATCTGTGAAAGGGGCTGTGGATAGACAATCCCTCCCGGCCCCTAGACTGTTTCTACAAATCGCCAGTCACACTGTTCTGGCCTTAACTATGTCCCCAACCCCACCACCCTCAACTCAAACGTGGAGGCTCTAACCTCTGAAGTGACTATAGACCAGAAGAGGGCA